GAAAACAAATTTAGTTCAATGAATGAAGAATGAAAATGCACGAAAGTATAAAGAGAAGAACTCACTCTCTGAAACAGAACCTACCTGTTCGATCCCGTTATGAATCATTTTGACATAATGTCCGGCTCCAGCAGGTCCGACATTCGTAACACACGGTCCATATTGTTCGTCCTTAGCCGCGAATTTCTCGAACAGTGGCATAAGCTTGTCTATCGTTTGTTTGTCTCCTCCTGGACTTATTGATGGGCCACGTCGTGCTGACTGATAACCGCCGCTAACACCCCTAAAACATTAGAAATTATTTATATTATTCAATATTAGACCAAGGTTCGCTATTTACATGCCAATGAGATCAACACCAAGTTCTTTTTTAAGCCAAGTCTGTCGACGTTCAGTATCTTTATACCACTTAATCAAATAAAACGCTATTAAGTAGCGATCAAATACAAAAAAAAATAAAAACGAGTGCGGCTTACTTCATTTCCACCATCAAGAATAATATCACCTTTTTTGAGAAATTTTTTAAGCGCTTCTAAAACTTCATCGGCTGGATGGCCATGTGTAATCGATAACAAGAGTAATTTTGGCTTGGATTCGTCAAAGCTTTTCATAAAACTGTCATAATCTTTGAACCCTTTTATTTTGTCTTTCAATGGCGGATTTTCTTCCGCTAATTGAAGAGCATGATCAACATTTTCGCCGACAATATCAAAAAGTGACACTCGGAGATCATGCTCGGCAAACAATAGGGTCATTTCACTGCCCATTGAGCCGGCTCCAATAATGCCAATTTGCTTGAATTCGCTAGTCATTTCCTAGTAGATAGAAATCCTAAAAAGACCTTTACAGATTCGAACCTGCGAGACAGCAATACTTTTCTGCTTCTCGTATTTTCCCCATGAAAAAAGCATTTTCGAGAGTTGTGTGTTGAACATAAAATATATCAGATGATCCTTATATCTAATGTACTTGATGTCAGAAACTACTATCGTTTTCAATGAATAAGAAAGTCCGTTGTTTTGCTTATAACTGTTTAAGGAAAAGATGTACCGACCTGTGGTTTTCACTATTCGAAAGAAGATGAATTTTGCTACAAACCCATATGATAACAGAGGGAAAAACAACATCTACAGGCCGTGTCCCAAGCGAAACAAAATTGAAAAACACTTGAATTTTTGGTGAAAAAAATTTTTTTTCGTTTTTTCGTTAACCTATCCCATGAGTATTTTTTCGGTTCCAAAACCGCAGCTAAACGCGTTTTCTTGCCAAAAAACCTTCTAAATCGCGGTCCTCTTATTCCAAACTGCGTTTTGTTAGGACACTGCGGTTAACCAACGCACG